AAAGCATATTGCCCACGATGGAGGTTGAGGGGCCTGCCTTGTGCATCCCATGACAGCACACATCATTGCCACTGCAGCAGCTAGCAGGGGACAGGGGCTGTCAGCCACAACCAGTCTTCTATTGTTTTCATGGTCTGTTTTCCTGTTTCTCACTGGCCACACTCAAAAGAATTGGTCATTCCTATCTCAAAAGTTTTCCAATGAATTGTATGATTAAATTCATTAAACACTACTGCCCATTCCTAATCCCCTTTTGCCAACATCCCTTTCAGGAAAAACTGCTGAACGCCATGGTGTCTGATTTATATTTCATTCTGAAAACAGGAAGGGATTAAAGTTGGGGATTAAAACACTTACCCTTTACTACATTTTTTTTCTGCAGAATAGTTTCTTAGTTGCCATGGACACTGCTCACTGACCCTTTGCCTCTGAATGCACTTCTTTTTGCATTAATGACATCTTTTAAGTGGACTCCATAGAGAACAAATGAAGGAAAATATCCTTATTTTCAATTGCTCTTTAAGCAAGAAAATAGATTTGCTTCTCTTTCAACCTCTTCTCTCCCTTTTGCAGTTTAAATACTGAAATCTGAACTATGAGTGTGAGTAAGGGCAAGTAAAAATTGAAAGAGGCAGAAGCAACTAAGCTCATACTGTAGGATATTTGCTCCCCATGAGGCAGATGCTCTCAAACAGAGCAGTTGCTCCAGATTAATATTGTCACATAATGTTACTGAACAATGTTACTGGTAACTAGCTTAATGCCTGAATAACCTGCTGAAACACCAATGATGTAATGCCCTAACTGTCCTTGGCTCCTCCTTTCCTCATCAATTAAACACTGAGTTAGAAAAAAAAAAAATTCTTTCCTGTAAGAAACACAATAAGCATTGTGTCACAAAATAAGTCTAGTTCAAATACTAAGAAAGAAAGGAAATTAAAGGAAAAACTGGAAATACATTGTGAAATTACATAAACGACTAGCCAAAAAAAAAAAAAAAATTCCCAGACGCTGTTTTCTATTCACGTTCACTAAATCTAAAGGCAGGTGTAAAATTTTGTTTGTTCCAAAGTCTTTAAACAAATTGATAGCTTCACTAATTGTGTTGAGAGCCCATTCCATTCTATTCACAGTGGTACTTGTACTGCAATATTTGAAAGTGAATATATAAAATATTTTCTTTAGATTTTCAAATACAGACCTCTTCAGCATGAATGCTAGAGAAACAGCAAATTATTTTCATGGTATACTTGTACAGAAAAGAGAATGTTCTCATACTTGCACAAGGCTGAGTGCTAGCTCACACAAAAATGGATCTTCAAGAAGAGCATAATGGTGATATTCACCTTCTGCACTGATTTCAAGTCACTGGATCTTTCTTTCAAAGAAGTCTGAGAGAGCTGGGTCTGCTCAGCCTTGAGAACAGACAACCAAGAGGGGACATCATCAATTGCTGTAAATATCTCAAGGGAGGGTGTCAAGAGGATGCAGTCAAGCTCTCCTTGGTAGTGTCAAGCAGTAGGACAAAAGGCAATGAGCAGAAAATGGTGCACAGGGAGTTCTACCTGAATGTGAGGAAGAGTTTCTTTACTATGTGGGTTACTGAGCACTGGAATAGATTGCCCAGAGAGGTTGTGGAACCTTCCTCACAGGAAATATTCCAGAACCATCTGAACAGAATCTTGTGCAATGTGCTCCCTGCTAAAGGAGGGAGGTTGGACCAGATGACCCACTATGGTCCCTTCCAACCTGACCCATCCTGTGATTCTGTGATATCTAACAGTGCAGGCTCCAGATTTTGTTTATATATTCTATAATTTCATTTTGACTATCTTCAGTAAAAAGGCTTACAAGCTAAAAGAGCTACGGATTCTTATTTTTGAACACAGTATCATCGGTTCACAGATGAAAGACATTTGCTGTTTACTGAAAACAAAAAGTGTAACCAACTGAAAATAAGCTTACTTGTTTAGTCAACTTGCAAAAAAATCTTGTAAGTTTTTTGTCCTTTCAAAGTTGAAATGAGGACAAGCTTAAGAAGAGAACAGGTTTCAAAAGTAATTGCAGTCCAGGGACATGTTGTACAATAGCACTCTTCTCAGCATCACTTTCAACTTTCATTCTGGGTACTATCCAGTTTTCTATCACTGACTTCCCTTCTTAGAAGGAGCTCATCTTCCTCGTGGGAAGATGAAATCCTGGCAGAGCTAGCAATTCTTTCTTTTCAAAGTAAGATAATAGACACTGCTTTTTACCCCACCAAAATATTTTAGAAGTACAGACTGAATATTATGATGCATAGAGATTATACCTAAAATGTATATAAAAACATTTATATAAACAGAAATATATATAAAATATATATATATATATAAATATATATAAAATATATAAATATATATAAAATCATCTATTCCCAGGTATTTGCGTAATATTTGTGTACATGTTTGCCCTCATCTTTACAAAGAATTTTTTCAAACTGGACAAAGATGATTAAAACAGGCAAGGCAGTCTCTACTCTCCCATGGCTCTATTTTCTTCTGAAGAGTAAATGAAAGTTTATTGTACTACCCACTAAAATGCATTAATTATTTGTGCTATGATCTTCTTGTTCTATAGAATTTCATGCCATTACCTGGAGAGATTCCCAGTTAAATGTATTTAATGGATGGTTGGAGGCTGGGAGCTGGGAGAAGGGGAACAGCGGCTGCATTACAGGACTTGGAGAAAAGGCATTTTGCCTTATTTGGTAAATCATAGACACATTAACAAATGCCACTTAAAATAATTCAGAGGTGGAAATTTACCTATATTCCACTGCATAACCTAGCTCCATTTTAGAGAGCCATGGAAAGGGTCAAAGGACAGATCTAAAAAATCTGGGACGAAGATTCGATTAAAACATCAGCACAGCAAGTAGTTGATTCCACTATTATGAATATACTTCATCCTGCTCTTCAAGTCTATAAAACATCAAAGACACACTTGCAGGTACAGTCTTGGAGAGCCAGCAATAATGTCACTTGGTATGTAGGGGGAGGTTAAAAGGAGGATTAAAAGCAGTCAGGCACGATATATTAAAGGAACCCATGACTAATGGGGTGTGACAGCAAAGGCTTTCATTCTTTTCAACAGAATAGATCCCTAGGGCTAGAAGTATTAGTCCATTGTGCCTTTAACACCTTGGAATTTTTATGGTTATTTTTGATGAATTCACATTTTTGTAAATACCTTTTTGACATTAAACCAATTTTCACATTTAATTAAATCCATATATAACATTAATTCTGCATTAAGAGGTTTGTTGATCTTATTTTTTATTATTATTACTGCCAGGAAATACTTCAAATACCAAAGCATAATGTTAGTTAGTAATTATAACATCTCTAAGGTCCAGTAACTTGCTAGGTTGTACCTAGTAAACATTATTCAAAATTTATCTGGGCTTTAAGTATCTGGCTTGACAGATGCCACAATATTTCTTTTCTTTTTGTGGAGGTTTGGCTTATTTCCCCTTCAATATTACCTCAAGTGACCAATGAGCATAAACAAATTCTTATCAAAGAGGGATGAAAAACTGGGGGATAAGTCTAGAATGTGCCCATAGGGAGTCAATCGAGGAGAAAAAAGCATCAAGTTTACACTGTCTGGCACAAAGAGGGAATGAAAAATGAGCAAAATCAAATAGTGAATGAAATTCAGGAAATAAAATCTGACACAGAAGTAAAATACAGCAAAATGAAAGAAGGGATAACACATTATTTTGCCTTCAATGACAGTAACAACACAGTGGAGTTTAATACCTGTATTCAGGTCCATTATGCCAGGTTTAGTTGAGGCATCACTCAAATTTCTCGGAGTGAATTGAGCTGATCAGCATTTTATTTACAAGCCTGTAAAAGATGGTGTCTGGGTGGCTGAGCTGCCCTCTGGGACTAGCAGAATAAAGCTCACAAACCTCCTTTGGCAGACCTGCCCCGGGGCAGCACGCACAGGAACAAGGGAGTCAAAGAACTACTTATTAAGGTGAAAATGCATGCTTATTTACTTCATCTCTGATACAGGTGTGGGCATTCATAAGTTTAAAGGATGTTTCTCGTTAATACTACAGGTCAGCTCCTCAGAGATTGACATGCTGCTTCCACAAACCATTGAATCAAAACTTACTCTTCCAATTTGTATACTGCAGCTTTAAACACTGCCACTCAGGGCTTTCAGTGCTGCATGAAGCACTTTTCTGGCTACTTGCTATGAATGGCTGTGCATTTAATTCTAAAACTTCTAAACTATAACTTGTTCATCATAGCGTTGACATTTCAAAGGTTTTTCTATCCCTACACCAGTTCATGCATGTTCCCCTTCTACTAGGAACAAGTTCCTTTAAATTGAAAGCTTAGACTTTTATCTTTTATGATCTAAACAATCCAATGAAATAGTGCCAGTGATTAAAGAAGGTATAATGAAAAATGCTCAAAAAAAAGAGAAAACCATTCCCTTAGATCACAGCTTTTCAGAGATGTACTTATACATGTAAACAGTTGTTGATTCATGGACTTGATATCCACAGAGAACTGATATTGTGAAATCTCGTGGTATTGGAAATGTCTGGCATATGGAAATATAATTTAGAGCTTAATCTCACATGCTGACTTGAAATCCATCCTTCTATCTGTAATTGGCCAGTATTTTTTAATACTGTGTATTTACCAAGTGGCAGAATGTAAAACTAAAAATTTCTGTTTGCAAAAATTACTGTTATTTGCCTTGTTGTGCATGGGTAGTAATTAACCATCACATCAGAAAACATGAAGCATTAGACTCATTAAGCCAAAGATGAAATTAGCTATATACAAACCAAATCTACTATTACCTATTAACATTTTTTCTAACAAAGAGTCTGAAATCAGCACAAGTACTTGAAGATGCACTGAAACATCGAATACTATAATAGTGACTTCTCCATATAAGCTTTACATCAATCAAGACAGCAGAAAATTTACCTTTTTCCTGACTTGCTGATCTTTAGAAGAATGGGCTTTCACATGCTTTCTCAGGGAACTTGGATCTGTGTATCGCTTAGTACATCCTGGAATCTGACACACATAAGGTTTCTAAGTCAAAAAGAAAAAGGATAAAGAGTCTGTTAAATCACAGATTATTTTACCACAAGAGAGTCCTTTTTGAGCCTTGGGATGCTGCAAACCACATTACTACAGAACATAAATGTACACCAGTACAAGCAGAATGCTTAGCAATTTGTTAGAAAGGGAAAGCATGAAATTAAGGCATTTAAGGAAGACAAACCAAAGGAAAGTGTTCATTATGGCACCTTTCACTGTTACCTTTTTTTTTTTTGTAATCAGTACAATGAATATTGCTAGATATACTCACAATTCTTCCACCCTCAGAGCAATCTTTGACTTAATCAGAAATTACAGTCTTTAGTGAACCAGGAAAAGAAACTGAAGTAAAGGCCGATAAAGACTTTTTAGGATTACAGAAGGATCTGCTTCAGAAAAAGAGAACAAGAAAAAGAGTTAGTTTTACTATATTACAAAGAAAGTAAGCAAAAGCCAAACCAAACACTGAATGCTGCAGTTTCAAAAATATTACATGCACAAAAATACACATTCTGATTGGAAGTACAAGACCTACTCCTTCAGCTCACATTTTCTAATATGTCACCTTAGAAAATTAGGTCCAACTGTTTCCTGAAATGAGTTGTTTTGCAACTTACTCAGTTATGTTTTACAAAGCATGTCCAACACCTTGGACAAATGATTAACTTACCAGCCATAGTATCGACTATTCAAAAGGGCATTCAAATGGCATTTTTGTAACTTTATTTCTGGACTCCTGCCACTTGGGAAATGGCTTGTCTCTGATAAAACATGATCTTTTGTCATGAAACAAAAATTTTTAAATAAATCTCAGCTGTGACCCAAATTCACAACCAAAAATTTGTTAGTGTAAAAATTTTTAGATTTGCAAAATTAGTCTTCCTCTCTGTACTTTCTGGTACATGCACCAGCCTTAGCTTATTGTCAAAGAAGTGCAGTTATTATCGCAGATTGTTTTGGTTTCCCTAAAGCTCAGCTAAGTAGGAAAAAGTCACTGCCTCTACCTTCAGCAAAGACCCCAGACCTGTAGCCTTTTTATCAACTAGACTGACTCATCTTCTTCCATGCTTATACTACTGGGTCACTTCTGAAACAGCTTCAACAGCCTCATTAGACACTCCACCCTCCTGTTTCTAAGGCTACCTACTCCAAGCTGGAGGAAAGGAGCATACGGTATAATGTACAGGAGACTGCAAGGGGAATGTCGTGTTCTTACACTCTCCAAGTGTGTCCTCTGGTGCTTGGCGCGGTCACTGGAGTTGCTGAATGCTTTCTGGCAGCCAGGGTGCTGGCAAAGGTACGGCTTTTCACCTGTATGGCTCCTGAAGTGAATCTTGAGATTTTCTAGTCTGGAAAAGGCTTTCTTGCAACCCTCAAACTAGAAAAGAGAAAGAAATTATTTGAAAGGAAGGCACACAGAGCAAACACCAAACAGGAGTGTGAAAGACACATAGAGACCTCCAGCTTGCTAGAGCTGGGTACCGCTCCAGAGCTAAAGAAAGCCTGGCTTCTCAGAGTGGGTGTTGCTGCAGGGTTTAAACCACTTAGATTGTGAAAATGTATGTATCCTCCCTGCATGTGGAAGTATGTCCTATATTTTACACATAGGACACTAAGACCTAAAGAGACCAGATACCTGAGAGCAGAGCTCCTATCTGGGAAACACAGAGCCAGCTGATTCTCCTCAACGTAGCTCACAGAAAGCAAAAGAGCCATTGTGAGGTTCCCAAGTCCTCCGCTAACTACCCTTATCTCAGCTCTAGGCTTCTTTTGATATCAGCAACTAAGCCAACAAGAGGCATCTCTCAGTACCAACCCCACCTTTGCAACAGCAAAGACACACTGTAGACAGATTTCACAGATTATTCTGAGCTGGAAGGGCCCAACACGGATTATCAAGTCCAGCTCTTAGGTGAATGATCCATATGGGGATCAAACCCACCACCCTGGTGTTATTAGCACCATACTCTGACCATCTGAGCTAATCTCAAGGTCAGATGCAGAGAAATGTCAGTCTGCTCTGCCTTGCTAATGATGATCTAAAAAATAAAATGAATTCTGAAATATGTCTTTACATTTCTGCCATGAGGAAATTTATGAGGTACTAGGTAAGCCTGCCATAATAGGATGTTAACGCTATGGGTAACCAATAATCTTGTGGCACAGTACTTCTATACCTAATCAAGTACTGCATCTGTGGAGAAATCTAAGTCTGTATGAACAGAAAACCAGTTCTTCAACTATCATGTTCCCATAGTATATTTTATCCTAAGGGAAACTAAAAAACACCTGTTCTATTTGACACCAGCATTTTTATATACACTTGATTTCAATTAAATATTTATGATTATCAGAAGTATAGGCTTTCTAAAATTCTATGAGCCAGGATCAGTTAATCTTATTAGTTTCAGCTGCCACATATTCTACTGTGAAACAGCTAAAGCATCTGCTGCATGACATGCTAGATTGAGGTTCTTATATACTTGCAAAAATAATAATGCAGTAACAGAGATGTCAAACATTTCTAAAGCTAAGACAAAAATTTCCGTAATTTCACTACCTACTAACTTTATTCACTGGAAAAGAAACAGACTGTTTTGATGTCAGAATAACATAAATAAATTTATATTATAAATTTATAATATATTATTCAGTGCATATGCTTACAAGAGCAGAGGTAGGAAAACTGACATAATTCTGATCATGGCTTTCTTACAAATCTTTACATGCTTGAAAAAAGGGAAAAAAAGATATAAAGTTTTTATTCCTTAATTTTAAGCCCATCTGCATTTTGATTAATGTAGGACAGAGTTACCAGTTCAAACAATAAAGCATAAATCACATGGCCTATAAAATAGCAATATTAAAATTGAACTTAAGTAATTAAAGCTTGAGAAATAGGATGAACCACTCCTGCTGTACCATGACTGGAAATTATCTTTCCCACACATCCATTTCAGAAAATGTCTCAACCCATGAAGCTTTTTATTTATATCCCATCCCTTTATCCAAAGCAAACCTACCATGCTTTTCAGGTTATCCGTTTTGATTACTGAATATAATTTATGCTTGTACAAACAGTGTTGCCCTTATGTTTACGAAGCTTTAGCACGCATACATAACATTGTTGCAATCGTAAAAATATTTTTATTTTTAGTGATCTATTATTAGAAAATATTGCAGGATAAATAAAATAAAAAAAAAATAGATATCTCTTACAATTGCCTGGGTAAAAATACCACATTTTTCTAGGAAAAAAGTAAAGAGTGGATAGAGAGAGCATAAAAACATGAGAGCTAAAAGCTGATATAATAAATGAATCATAAAATTGTGTAATCATAGAATGGTTTGGGTCAGAAGGGACCCTAAATATAATCTATTTTCAACTCCCCTGCCATGGGCAGGAAAACCTTCTACTAGACTAAGTTGTTCAGAGCCCCATCTAGCATCTCCTTGAACACTTCCAGACATAGTTGTGGGGCAGCCACAACTCATCTGGGCAACCTGCTCCAGTGCCTCACCACTCACACAATAAAGAAGTCCTTCCTAATTTCTAATCTATATGTACACTTTCAGTTTTAAACCTTGAAAAAGCAAAATCATTCAAAAGCACTTATGTTAAAATTAGAAAGAAACCTACTGATTCACCCACCTTATGGAGACAAGTTACTATTTTATAATAACTTCATAAAAGAAAAACCTTCCATTCTAATGACTGTAACTATGCTGTACATAAGTATGAGATAAATTGCAGGACCTCAAGCAACCATGAATTTCAATTTCAGACCAATGAAAATGTTGTAAAAGCATGCCTCTGTTTTGTTTATTTTCAAGGTTAGTAAACTCTGAATCTTCAAGCATGCAAATAAACTTAAACAGGTGTAAAAGATAGTTTATAAGATTGTAACATTAGCATTGGTTTTAAATAGGCAAAAACATTTAACTAAGCAGAACTGGGGAATGTTATGTTACATATTTAAGAATTGTTATTTCTGAACACGCCTGCATTGCTGAGCATAACTTGGAAGGAGAAAAGATAGTCTGAAGTTCTCTTTTCTCTCCACAGCCCTAAACTAATGTGTAGTGTATTCACAAGGCTATATATAGTTGTGTACTGTTGAAAAGGTCATTGTAGCTAAACATAGACTCTGCAAGCCCCTGTATTATCAGATAGACCATCTTTACTCAACAGTTAACAAATGTTTACTCTATAAACTAAATTTCTTGAAGCCCTGGGAATATCCAGAGCTTAAGATAAAAGGAATGAAAAGATACTCTTTTCAACAACACAGAATATACATTCTATTCTGATAAACAGATTTCAATGAAAGTATTCTAGACAAGACACAACCACCTAAGGGGAAAACTGTCAGGTAGTTGGGAGTTGTATTTTGAAATGAAATTTGTCGTAGTTTTCCAAGTTATTAACTGTCGTTGAAGAGGAAGATGTAACACCTTTATTACAGCTAGTCACTTAAGTATATGGCATACATTTGGCATTCTGAATCTGTTTAACACTCCTAAATATATCCCAGATTAAACCAGATTTTTTGCAAGTATTATGGGGAATTAATTGCATAATGTTTTCCTAAACTGCAATACAGAAATCAAGTCACTGAGCTATTACTTTTACTGCTGCATGCAAATTGAAACCATTAAGTAGGTTATATAGAAAATTTACTCTCTGTACTTCCTAAACTTGGGATCTCTTTTTAAAAGGATAATTGTCCAAAGCAAGTAATAATATATTTACAGTAATAGGTAAAACCTGTCAATAGAAAGCAAAAGCAGTGCTATGACTTTAAAACACTCATTTTCTCATGAATGTACTGTTCACCTTTGTATACAGAGACAGTGTTCATTCTATCAGGCAATCCATTCTGTAAAATGACAATAAAATTACATAGGTTTATATACAACAACCTGTGCAGCACGCAAAGTTCTGCTGGGAGTGCACCATGCACTTCTGAGGCCTGCCTGGAATTAGACAGCAACCTTCACTATGAAATACACTTAGACTCCTAGACTCTAAGAACAGCTTGGTAATATATGTGTGCATACTTCAATATTAGTAGCAGATATTCAGTGGCCAAGTGATTATGAAATTAGTTTGTTTTCACTGTAAAAGGTTGACCACCAGTGTAATGAGGACTGAAGACCTTGTTCTGGCAAACAACATCTGCCTGAGCTCTGACTCATTCAAGGAAAAGTATTTAGTCTCGATTCTAAAAGTCAATGACAGGCAGCTCAGCTTCTTCTTAATCCAACTAAACCTTGAAAGTATATGATATTAAAAATCTTCACATATTCCTATCTGCATTTGTTTTACTTCAGCACCAAGACAGTGTATTTTCTTCTGTCATTTTTCTGGTATAATAATGTGACAAGTAATGTAAAAGGTAACTTCTGATTCTAGGTATTTTCTGTTATCAAGTCATTTAACTTTCTCCCAAATAAGTTATACATATCAAAATTTGCTTTCTCACTATAAACAATGCCTTCTCATACCTACTTCGAAATTGGTTTCAAAACCAAAAAAAATAGAATTATTCTTAAAAATATTAAAAACTGAGCACTGTTTGATTTTACCAAGGCTGGTGACTAACACTTCCCTGAGCAGCCTGTTCCAATGCTTGGTAGTGAAGAAATTTGTCTTCATATCCAATCTAATCTTTCTCTGGCACAACTTGAAGTTGTTTTCTTTTGTCCTATCACTTGTTACTTGGAAGAAGAGATGGACTGTTACCGCAGATACTGTCTAGACATTGACCCGATCCCATTTAAAACAGCAAATTACTGTTTGACATTGGCTTGACAAGTTGCTTGACTTGCTTACTTTCGTAATATTCATAAACTGGCCATAAGCATGACAAAAGTTTTAAATCCTAGAACTTGAAGGAAGTTATCTCAATAAAAATATCAGCCATTTCTAGATTTTAGGGGAGGCTGTCATGCATGAATGCGTATATGCAAATGAAGGCAATGGTATCCTTAAAAATGTATAGGGAAAAATAAATCTGGGGTAACATATACACAAGGCCCCAAAATAAATCTTTGAATTGTTCAGTAATCATGTAGCATTTTGAAAGATTTATTAGTAGATCAAGGGCAAATTAATTATTTAACAATGTTTTACACCTATCTGTCAATAAATTTTGAATGCTTTGACATGCTGACTAGGTGTGTTCTCCTGTGTCAGCACCAAGGCAGGTGATATGAGAAGGACAAAGTGTCTTTCCCCAGCTTTGTATTTAATACACAAACAGATGTAAAAGCTGTTCTGTATAGGGCTTTCAAACAAGAGCAATGCATTTCAAGTACTAATTAATAGGTTTTAAAGTATCTTCCTTCCTCAACAGTATTAGCAAGGTGCTGCTC